ATATATATCTATATTTATAAGTTTGTTAAAAGTAAATTTTAACTGAAGTATAAGGCAAAAAGTAAAAGACAAAAAGATTTATAAAATATTTTCAAATGTTAATTGAATAATTATATGAGATTTCTATGACTATAATTGCTTAATGAGAAGAAATAAAAGAAAAATGTTAAATTAAAAATACATATAATTATATCTAAATAATCTAAAATTATATCTATATAATATAAAAATATAATATAAAAAGTGTTTTAATTAAAAATATATAACAATAGAATTAATAAACTGTTATATATCTGTATGATCATGAATGTTAAAAGTTACATTTTGTTTTTTGTTAAATAACATATATATATACATAAATATATATATATGTATGTAAACATACAAAATTCTGTTTCTTCATCATCTGAAATATTATATTCTGGATCTGCTTCTGGATCATCTTCTACTATAGGTTCTTGAGTTAGTGGTTGAGTGAATTCTTTTAAAAAATTCACCCAATCTTCATCTACTTCACAATCCCAATCACACATATTAATAGTTATATCATATCCCTACTAAAATCACGTTGCACAAATTATATTAAATATTAATCGATATCCTTAGATTATATAAATATTAAAATTATTCCACAAGAAATTTTTATTAAAATACTGCATTATATTATGCATTATTATTTTTATACTGCGATTGAGTTTTCAATGATAGCAGCCATATTTATTGTATTTTAAGCCATAGCTTCAACTTATATATTAATTAATACTAATCGATTTTCAATATTGCATTTTGTATATTAATCGAATCTTTTTTTATTTTCAAAATTACATGGTATTTAAAAATTTTTAAGTTTGAAATAGTATTTAATTTAAAAGATACAAAAAAAAATAGCAACAAAAATTTACATAAATATTTCATAAGAAATAGTTTTTTTATAAATAAAAATGCAAAAATAATTCTTATTATCTCATATTGTTTATTAGCTATACATTATTCGATCTAATCATCGGAAATAAATTAAATCACATGAAGATATTACGAGTTCAACTATTGGCTGAATCGAAATCGATTTCAGAATCGATATTATTGTGTAAAATGTGTTCATCGATACAATTTCTTTATATTTATATAATAAAGTAATTTCATGAATAAATTAATATAAAACAAAAATAAAACTTTATTTTATATCTATTGTAAATCAACTTTGATTCTTTTATTTTGATCAATTAATGATGAATTTATTGAATGATATAAGTATTACTTAGTATTTATTAATAGGGGTCGAAAATACGAGATTACCGATTCAAATCGAATAGTAAAAATCGGATAAACATGAACCGATATTTAACTATTTATGTTTACCTAAAGAAAATAGTTCAGTAATTTGATATTTTAAAATTGAGTCCGATATTATTATATTTTAATTTTATTATTATTAAAATATTTTCAATTCAAGTAAAATTTAATAATTTGTAATAAAATATATGTATAATATGTAATAACAATAATTTAATAAATATAAAATTTAAGCTAATAATTTTTATAAATTTACATATTAATTTTTTTAAATTATTTTTAAATTTATATATTTAAATTATAAAATTTTTAATGCTTTTAAGTATTCATAAATTTAAGATTTACTTATACTATGGAAACATGATATCTCTATTAATTAAAATTAAATTAATATATTTAGAATATAAATAATATTAATTTTTGATCTTGATATAAAGATTTAAAATTCTCTTATCTAATCTTAGATCTTTAACATAAATTATTAGTTATTTTTAGAAAAGTGAAAATCGGTTTCTTGATGAAAAATTTTCCGTTATCAAATAAAAATAATTATATATATAATATTATATTATTTTCTATATATATATATATATGTAGCTATATATAATTGCTATATAATTACTATATAATTGACATATAATTATTATATAATTGCTATCTAATGTTTTGAAAGTTATTTTCCATAAACGATTTAAAATTTGAAATTTACAGAATCATTGTTTACTTTATTATTACCCTCAACCATATACCATATAAGGACGAGTTTTGACATTTAAAATAATCAGTATTACTTACATTGCCGTTTAGTATACAAAAGAGTTAGAACGTAGAATCAAATTATTTCTTTCTTCTTCAATTTAAATCAAAAATAAAAATTGAAAATCAAAAATGAAAATAAAAATTCTTCTTTTTTTTACTATTCTCGCATTAATAAACGTTAAAGCGCAAGATGATATTTCAAAGTTTTTAATGGATAGACCATATGTACAAAAACAGCTTCATTGTATTTTGGATCGAGGACATTGTGATGTAATTGGAAAGAAAATTAAAGGTAAGATTTAAAATAAATTATTTATTAAATTTTTAGTTTTTTTTATCTATATTTTTTTTTTTCTCTTCTTTTTAACTTAAATGTAAAATGTATTCAAAACATGTATTTGTCATAAAAATTTTGTGAAAATAACTGATTTAAATCATTTTGCTTATAATATCATGACAAATTTTATTTAGTATTTTTAATTTTTTAAATTTTTAATAAATCAATCAAGCTATCAATAAATCAATAAATAAATCAAGCTAAAAGTTATTTATTATGTACATATTAAATAAATAAATATTATATGCAAATTAAATAAATAATATATATTCAAATTATTATTCAAGTTAATTATATAATTAAATAAATATAATAAATAAAATGATTACTCCATCTTTGTTTTATTTGTTTCTATATTGTATACATTCATCAAATCAAATAAATTTAATATAACATTTGTTAAATCTGTTTATAATAAATTTTCAATATTAAAGTAAAAAAAAAAAGATAAAATTTTTTCTTATATTTCATCATTATGTAAATACAATCACTAGTTTTGAATAATAAATTTAAAAATAACGAAGTTATATTATTGAAAAATAGATGTGCTAATTTGTTAGTAAATATATTTCTTACACATAATTGATTAATAAAGAATAAAATATTGAATAATATTTTGCTAATAATAAATAATCTTATATTAAAAACCTACTAAAATAATAACAAACCTATTAAACCTACTAAACAAATAAAAACAAATGAAACAAAAATAAAATGATTTTACCGAAATTCACTTTCAAACATTTTGTTTTATTGTTTTATCAATAACAGTTACGTATTATTAATAAATAAATTTTGTTATGATTTATCGACAATATTTGCTAAACAATATATATATTAAGCAAAATCAACAATTTTTTTTCTTAACATGCAAATTTAGGTCATAAACAGATTTAATAATTCGTTTATATTACATATAAATACTGTTATGATTCTTGCAGAATTGTTGCCAGAAGTGTTGAACAATCATTGCAATCGATGCACGTCACGTCAAGTTGGAATTGCAAATACATTAATACCTTTTATGCAACAAAATTATCCCTATGAATGGCAGTTGATTCTACGACGTTATAAAATAATGAAATATTATTAATATCGAAGATATTAGTATGAAAATTAAAAAACTCAAAATAATAACAATTGACAATGGAACAATTCATTGATAATATCATAACATGTTCTTGAAATTTTGAAACGTTAAATAAATTTTTCATAATATTAATAATTTTAATATTAAAAATTTTAAATATTGCTAATATTTATAATATTACTTATAAGTTTGTAAGAATTATTGAATATCATTTATGGATAAAATGTAAAATAAAATCATTGTGACTATTAATATTGTGTATATTTTTAACATTTTATATTTTAATATTGTTTAATATTTTTTATGCATATTAAATGATGATAGTGAAATATAATTGTTTATTCAATTTAAACGTATAATTGCGTAAAATAAAGTTAAAGAATAAGATAGAATAAAGAAAGCTTATATACATATAGATTCAAAGCAAGTTGAAATTATAATATGATTTGCAATTTAATTCGTATGATGATTTTAATGTTGAAATGAATATAGATATATTTTAACGATATATTTTAGATTAATTTTAAAGTTTAATAATAAAAATTTCCTATTTAAACGAATAAATTACTTCTTTTCTTAAGAAATTTATTTTTAAAATTTTTAAAATATAAGATATAAAATTAATTGATTAATAAAATTAAATAATTTTTATTACTAATGTATAGTTTTTATTATTCAATAATAATTACATAAATATTTGATATTTTTAAAAATGATTCTATTGAAAAAATTTATTTACTTTTTATTTATCGAATATATATTAATATAAATTATAAAATTACTAAATATAATAACAACATATTGTTATTGATAACAATCCTTGATAAAATATATAACATAAATATATGACGGTCATCACGGTAAAGAATAATGTCTTCATTATTCTTGATAGCATGTTGTATTGGTTGCATATAACACGCTATCAACTATTTTTATCATATTACATATAGTTTCTATTCCTTCATATAAAAAGCATTTTAGACAATTTGAAACAAATTATCGATAATTGTTAAAATAAAAATAATTTTTTTACAAAAAAAATTAATAAAATTAATAAATTTAGATAATAGATAAAATAAATTGTAAATTCAATTTATTAAGTTATAATTTATATTTACGAAATTTCAAAACAAATTTGAAATATTTATAAATTATATAATTATTTTAATTTGTACTTTTATATAAATATTATGTTTAATTTTTCAAATGAGAAAAAAATTTTATCAATTAAAATTTTTCAATGAGAATCAATCAATTAAGAAAAATCTATAATCATTTATATAAAAACATTTAAATAAATAATAAGATTTATGATATTTAAAACAACAAAAAATTAATAATAAAATTAATAAAATCTCTTTATTTATTTTAAATTATTTTTAACATTTCATTTTTTATTATATTTTAATATATTAATATTCATATTTAATGACTGCTATTCAATTGTATGTATGTTTCATAAAGGTGCGTGTAAAATACTCAACTAACGCGTTTATCCACTCCCTCCAATGTCCTCTGTATTCGACTATATAATTCGTCAGCTTGTTTCAACAGTTACAAAGAACGTTTTACTTTCTACTGCAGAGGGTAGCTTTGAAATAAGATTTCATTTTACACTATATTACGATAATTTTTATAAGTTTCAAGTTTTTTAATAACTTTAAACGTCATAAACATTTATTTTTTAAGATTAAAAATAAAGGAACAAGTTTCAATTACAATATGAAGATTTATCTTTTACTATTTATCTTGGTCACAATTACTTGTGTAATAGCAGAAGATTATACTACCAAATATGATGATATGGACATTGATAGAATTTTGCAGAATGGTCGTATCCTCACTAATTATATTAAATGCATGTTGGACGAAGGACCATGTACTAACGAAGGTAGAGAATTAAAAAGTGAGTATCAATATAATTTTTATTTGTTTAAATTGTTAACTAATTGTTTGAATAAAATTTTTCATTTCTCATTTTTTCAATAATTTTCACTTTTCATTTTTGTAATGATAATATTATATTTTGATTAATTATTTCATACAGTATAACTTTATTAAAATATCTGAATTTGAATTTTATTTTTTTTGTTTGAATTTAATTTTTAAAATAATAAATTACATATTATATACATATTATATAAATTATAATATAATAATAATCAAGTTTTTTATTAAAAAATAAAAATAAAAAAATAAAAGTATTATTATTTATATTAAAATATGATTTTATTGCAAATAAAATAAATAAAATAAAAGATATAAATTTATTTTTGTATTCAAATGTATATATGTATCTTTTACGAATCTTATCAAAAAGTAATATAGTATGTAATATTAATTTATATATATATATATATATATATTATGTATTATTGTAAATATATCGAAAAGACAAGCGAAGAAATATATCATTTTCAAACATTTTTTTTCCATTTATAATTGTTTTGAATATTTTAATCTTTTAAATATTTAAAAAATAGATAAAATAAATAAATTATAAAAAAAGAAGAAAGAAAAAAATAAAAAATTATATAAAAAAAAATATTTATCTTATAAAAATTGATTTAAAATATTTTAGAGATATTTTTGTTTTTAAAAATATTTTTTTTATAATTAATCATTTTTAAAAATCAAATAGAAAAAGAAATAAAATATTGAAATTGTATTTATATATAAT